AGTGGAGGGATTGTGTGCTGTGTGTGGAAGTGTTGTGCCTTGTAACCTTATTGTTATTGGTCTGTGACATTGTGGGCTGGGGGGGAGACAATGAGTCCCCCCATTGTAACTTTAATGCCCCCACCCACCATGCATGGCTTGGGGTGTGCGGATGGACAGTAGGTCCCCCCCTTTTGTAACTTAAGGTCACTCACCCGCTATACATGGATGGCGGCCGCGGGTGGACGGTAGGTCCTGCGCCCCATTGTATCTTGGGTCTCCCACCCACCGCTCATGGGTGAGGGCTGAGAGAGGACACAAGGTCCCCTGTTTAGTTTAGTGACCCCCACTCTTGGTGCACAAGTGGGGTTTCGGGGGGACTTTGTCCCCCGTTAATTATATTTATAGGTGCCCCACTAAGTAGTGGGGGGTGTTTTTACAACAGTGAGCAGCCACTGAAACAGCCAGAAGAATGTGATAATTGTGGGAAAATTGCTTTGACCACAGGAAATGGAGCGAACCTAGCTCCTCCCCTGTGTCAAAGATGGTCAAGCCTAGGAAAAATACATATGACAAAATAGTCCCTACTTTGTCTTATGTTTTAAAGAAAACTAGAGCAGACAGGAAGAAATTAAGAAAACAAAACAATACTATCACCACAATCACATGTGTATAGTGTGAAATAAGTATGCAATATACATATAAGGTAAATCAAGTGGACAGCCTCCCAAAGATCACTTCCCAGGTAGTGATCTTTAGACCAGAATACAAGCAAAACACATATTGGATACGGATGTGGAATCTAAAAAGAACATAGACAAAAGATAGTGTAATACAATTTTAACAAATAATGTGCGCTGGACAAAAATGCACTCACAAGATGTAGACATATGCCCTCAAAGGATGCCTCCCCCAATGTAATTGGGGGGGAAAGGATCCCTCTCCGCTGTCTGCAGGATAGCAGGAAATCCGGACTCCGGATGGTAGTATAAAATAATGTATTTTATTATAAATCAAATAAAATTGGTAAAACAGCAGTAGTTGTGGTCTTAGGCGTTTCGTTTCACACTTGGAACTTCCTCAGAGACCATAAAATCTAAGTAAATTACAGATGGTTATACAAATAAAACAGCCTAACAATTCCCACCCCAGTGTCCCTTTAAATAGAGCTAATCCCTGAGTTCATTGATGGTTCAGAAGGCATTGTTTCTCCTCTGTGGTCCTACTGGTTCCCTTCTTGCACTGGATCACCTGTAGCTCTTCAAAGAATTAACTCCCATGTCTCGGCTGGTAATTAGACATCTGCCGGAAACCGGAAACGGAAGTGAATTCCACTGAACACTTCCGCGTTCCATTCACTGAGTGATGTAAGCCACAGAGATCAAGACAGCTGTATATGTGCCATAGAGTTCACAGATGTAGTGTGCGACCTCTAGTGGTCGCCAAAGATATTGCAAGGTTTAACAATGGTATTAATAAAACGAAACAGCAAGTATTTGATCTGCTAAAGAGAAGGGTTGTTAATACCATGGATAAATAAATAATTATTTTTCTTTTATTAAGTATATCTCTAGTTTTGTTTTTTTGTTTTTTTGACATCATTTAATCAAAGATTAATTCTTTAAAGTGACAGTGACTATATTAAAGTGAATATGTGTAATAATTGATGAATGTCAATTGTTCTTTCTCATGTTTTAAACAATAATTATTGAAATAAATTAACATAATCTAATGTAACCACAGACAGTGGTGTATCTTGGTTTTGTGCTGCCCTAGGCAGGACAAAACTCAGACATCCCGCCACCCCCACCCAACCCTTCCCCCCTGCCCCGCCTTCTAAATACACACACACACACACATATTCACTGACAGATATGCATACACTAGCTAACAGACACACTCACCCTAACAGACACACACACTCACTAACACACACACAGTCAGACACACACAAACACACTAACAGACACACACACACACAGTAACAGAACTGTCTGTATATGGATTACATTTATTTTTTCTCCATTCGTCTGTTTGTTCGGTTTATTTCCCTGCCTGTACAGTCCCTATGTGTTCCCCTGTTAAACTACCGAAAGCCGCACGCATGGTTACACATAGCCGCCACCCGGTGGCAGTGTTATGGAGCTCCCCGGACGGCCAGCAGTGCTCAGCCCAGAATCAGTGCACTAAAAGCGGATACTTTTACGTGCAGGCACCGCTGAGCCTCCAGCCTTCCCTGCTTCTATTTAGGTCGTTTAAACGAAGGCTGGATTGATCAGGACTTTACTTAAAGGACCACTCTAGGCACCCAGACCACTTCTGCTTAATGAAGTGGTCTGGGTGCCAGGTCCCTCTACGATTAACCCATTTTTTTTTTATAAACATAGCAGTTTCAGAGAAACTGCTATGTTTATAAATGTGTTAATCTATCCTCCAAATCCTCTAGCGGCTGTCTCATTGACAGCCGCTAGAGGCACTTGCGTGATTCTCACTGTGAAAATCACAGTGAGAAGACACCAGCGTCCATAGGAAAGCATTATGAATGCTTTCCTATGAGACCGGCTGAATGCGCGCGCAGCTCTTGCCGCGCGTGCGCATTCAGCCGAATGGGAGGATCGGAGGCGGAAAGGAGGAGGAGAGTTCCCTGCCCGGCGCTGGAAAAAAGGTAAGTTTTACCCCTTTCTCTACCCAGAGGGCACCCTCAGGGCACTATAGTGCCAGGAAAACGAGTATGTGTTCCTGGCACTATAGTGGTCCTTTAAGTGAATGTTTTAACCCAGATAGCTATGCCATGGAGTCTATTCGTGTAATTAAAGACTTTGGCTCCATGGCAATTGAACTGTATGTGTGTGATCTGAGCGCTATTCGGATGTTATGTGCGCTCAGATCTAAGCTATCTGGGGATATGTGACATGTATGGGGTTGGTGTAGTAAATGTAATATTATATGTTTTAATGTATTTTACTGTCTCTGTGTCCCCACGTGTATAATGGTGATTTGCCTCTGTCCTGGGAGATAATTGGATTACTTCCCAATTATCTCCAGGATAAAGGGAGGGAAATTAGGATGCATTGTGGGGATGTTTTACTTCTGTGTGTCTGAATGTAATACATGTCTGTCTGTGTTACAGTCTTCCATCTGGTCCCCTAGGAGAGTGTCCACCAGGTGGGAGACCTGCATAAATACCGGGTAGGTAGCCCTCAATAGACCAGAATCCTGTTTTACCCTCAGTACGTAGCTTGGTCTCGTGATTGAGGGGATTTACTGTACGCGGTTAGAGACTGATTGCTGGGAATGTAAGCCGCTTGGATGCTGTGTGTGTTCGTCTGTTAGCAGCTATTCGTGAGATTATCGTTCGGGAGTTTGGAGTACTACTGGGTATACTGTTCGGGAGTTTGGAGCATTCCCTGGTTCCAGTTCGGGAGTTGGGGTTCTACAGTAGCTGTACCTATACCTCCACAAAAAGGGAAACTCTACTAAACGGCGGTTTAACCCCTTTATGCCGGGAGAGCCGCAACACACACACACACAGTCAGACACACACACACACACGAAGTCAGACACACACACACACACTAACAGACACACACACTAACAGACACACACTAACAGACACACACACTAACAGACACACACACACACTAACAGGCACACACAGTCAGACACACACACTAACAGACACACCCACACTAACAGACACACACTCACTAACAGACACACACTCACTCACATTAACACACTCACTTTTTTTTTAATTTAACCCCCCCAGCCTCCTTACCTTTGGGAATGCTGGGGGGGAGGGGAGGTTCTCCCATTCACTGAGGGTCCACTGGCTGCTGATCGGTTGGGCGGGCGGCGCTGGCGAGGAAGCACTTTCCCCTGAGCTCTCTGTTCAGCTCCCTCGCGCGCCGCCCACAGAGTGATGCTGGGAGCCGGAATATGTTGTCATATTCCGGCTCCCAGCATCACTCTGCAGGCGGCGCACGAGGGAGCTGAGCAGAGAGCTATGGGGAAAGTGCTCCCTCGCCAGCGCCGCCTGCTCGATCGCCTGCCTGGACCGTTAGCCACAAGGCATTTTTTTGCCGCCCCCTGGAAAATGCCGCCCAAGGCAAATGCCTTGTTTGCCTCGCGGCTAAAATGTCCCTGACCACAGATACCTATTTTTATAATACATGACAGTCGTGAAATAGCAAATAATTACATTTGATGTCCCTAATTTAAAGATAGACCAAAACTATTTATATTTCTATTTTTCTTTTTTCCAGATATGTTAAGGTGAATAGGTACATTAAACCATAAATACCTGATATTTCAATTACATTCAAAATAGCTACACAATTATATATTATAGTAGTGAGCATGTATGAAAACAATACAGTACATCAATTTAATCTAATCTAATCAGTATTTTGAATATAATTGAAATATTAGGTACTGCATTTATGGTTTAATGTACCTATTCACCTTAATATATCTGGTGTTACTCTTAATACATAATTATATGATTAAAACCATTGTAGCAAAAGAAAAATAGAAATATAAATTGTTTTGGTCTATCTTCATTAGGGACATCAAATGTAATTAGCTGCTATTTCACGACTGGGTACATAGTCATGTATTTTAAAAATAGGTATCTGTGGTTACATTAGATTATGTTAATTTATTTCAATAATTATAGTTTAGAACATGAGAAAGAACAAGTGACATTCATCAATTATTACACATATTCACTTTAATATAGTCACTGTCACTTTAAAGAATTAATCTTTGATTAAATGATGTCAAAAAAACAAAAAAGAAAACTAGAGATATACTTAATAAAAGAAAAATAATGATTTATTTATCCATGGTATTAACAACCCTTCTCTTTAGCAGATCAAATACTTGCTGTTTCGTTTTATTAATACCATTGTTAAATCTTGCAATATCTATGGCGACCACTAGAGGTCGCACACTACATCTGTGAACTCTATAGCACATTTAAAGCCATCTTGATTCCTGTGGCTCACATCATTCAGCGAATGGAACGCAGAAGTGTTCAATGGACAGTACTTCCGGTTCCAGTTTTCAGCAGATGTCTAATTACCAGCCGAGACATGTGAGATAATTCTTTGAAGATCTACAGGTGATCCAGTGCAGGATGGGAACCAGTAGGACCACAGAGGAGAAACAACACCCCTTGAACAACCAATGAACTCAGGGATAAGCCCTATTTAAAGGGATTTGTATAACTATCTGTAATTTACTTTGATTTTATGGTCTCTGAGGAAGTTCCTAGTGTGGGACGAAACACGTAAGACCACAACTACTGCTGTTTTATCAATTTTATTTTATTTATAATAAAAGCCGCTATTTTATACTACCATCAAGAGTCCTGATTTCCTGCTATCCTGAGGAGAGGGATCCATAGCCCCCTAATTACATCAGGGTAGGCACCCTTTTAGCGCATAATACGTCTACATTTTGTGAGGGCATTTTTCTACAGCACACATTATTTGTTAAAATTGTATTACACTATGTTTTGTCTATGTTCTCTTTAGATTCCACAGCCATATCCCATATGTGTTTTGCTTGTATTCAGGAAGAAATAAAGAACAGATCCTGAGAGAGGAAGAGAAGAGGAAGCGATTGAGGAAAGGTAATTTTTTGACTACCTAATTTGAAAATGTTTGCTATAATTTTTCAACTTCCCTAACTGAATCAATATATTCTGTTTCCTTTTACAGACAGACAGACAGAGATAGATAGATAGAGGAATTATGTACCATTGTAGAAGTAGTTAGTGGAAACAATAGTATTGTGATAACTTTTTTTTTTTTAAACTGCCTACAGGGAATTATAGCTTGATTTATCATACTAATCTGTTACAGAAATTGGCCTATTAATTTACATCTTTATTAAAGAATTAGCACAGCCTTTGCTTTGAAGTTTAATTACTCGTCTAAATGTTTGATGGAAATCATCAATCTTCTCTGTTGTTCAGAGATAGAGCTATGTGTTTTTCCCCTGATTGTGTTAGTCTACAAGAAATTACACTGTATTGTAATGTTTCTTTTAAAATAGGCACAACATGAATGCAAATCAAAATGTTTCTGAAATAATGAAACAAAGCATATTTCAGTAATCTGAGGACACATTTTAATCTGTACCACGGATGTAAATTTATGTTTCTTTATTTCAAATAAAAAATGACATGATCCTAAAACAAAACAATTAATTTTCTCAAATAAAGAAAATGTTACATATATTGTTATATTTTTTTATATTATATAATGTATACTTCTTTTAAAATTACACTTACCTATGAGTCCACAAGTTAGACCTGAAGAAAAGGCTGACAAGACCGATGGGATTCTAAAGAATATTCTTACTTGAGCACAGAAAAAAAACACCTTGTATGATGGGATTGGGTTGTTTTTTTCTGGCTCATGATCCATCCACAGTGTTCAAAATGTTCAAAATACTCTTGCTATTTGACTGGGTTACATCTCATTCAATTGTCAAATGAATGATATGTCATTCAGATTATGGTAAGTATGTATACCTCCTTTCCTCAGCTGAGCAATAAGAGTTACCAGAATTTTTAATGAATGCCCATGGTGCCATATTCAGAGGTGTAACTAGAAACCACGGGCCCTAGTGCAAAAATTTCCCTGCCCCCCTTAAATGTACCCATGCACACAGATACACATGCAGACACACAAATACACACATATACAGAGACACACACAGACACACATACATACAGACACATACACACACACAGAGACACACATGCAGACACAGACAGACACACATACATACAGACACGCAGACAGACATACACATACATACATACAGACAGGATATAGATCCAATTTGATCTTTGTTATATTCAGGGGAACCCAAATTGTATCAAGTGCACTTGGAGAAGCGTAAATAAGACACCAGACAGGTGTTGGTTATCAAAATAAGCCTCTGACCTTTATTTTATCCGTTTGAGCTTTTATACATTAAAAAGTAAGTGTTTACGTGCAAATACTCATAAAACAATAGTAGGAAGGGAGTGAACGGATGAAGGGAATACAGATGAGACATAGGGATAAACATCATGTACATATAACAGATAAGTTCCAGGAAAGAGAAGAAACAGACTGATTTAGGAGAGAAAGCTCAGGTGGGGGCTATCTGCTCCCGGAACTAGACATATATGGTCTTATGTGTCGTCTTAAGCATTAAGCATTTCCTGAGTCCAAGTTAGGCAATTTTAATATAGGCTATCTCAGTGTTTCCCAACCCAGTCCTCAAGGCACACCTACCAGTCCAGGATTTAGGGATTACCCAGTTGTGTCTAAGGTGTTTTTACAAAGAAGAAAAAAAACACCTTAGACACAACTGGGTAATCCCTAAATCCTGGACTGGTAGGTGTGCCTTGAGGACTGGGTTGGGAAACACTGGGCTATCTAATATGACACCTATAAGCTTGAACCTTGGAATCAAGGTAAATTCTTTCACAATACACATACATATAGACAGACATACACACACAGACATAAAGACACACAGACAGGCATACACATACATACAGACACACACACAGAAAGACATACACAGAAATACATATACATACAGACAAACATACAGACATACATGCAGACAGAGACACACATACATACAGAGATTCATACAGACACACATACCTTTCCCTGGGGTTCAGTGGCTCAGCCTAATGGGAGTCAGAGTTTCCACTCTGACTCCCTCCTCTCCTTCCTCCTGCGTGGCTCCCGGTGGTTGCTGGGAGGAAGTGACCTGGGCAGTCACTTCCTCCCAGCCTCTGACCTCATCAGAGGTGGCCCAGTCGCTCTGTTAAAGCACTGACCGAGCCCCCAGGAAATACATAGCATCGGGTGGCCATAACAGCATGGGCCACTCGATGGACCCCTGAACGTGCGCCCCTGGTGGTTACACCGCGCCGGCCGGGGCCGCATTACTTAGTCGTCGGAACTACTGTGGTCGCAGGGGCCTGCAGGGAAGATGGGCCCCCTGGAGTGACGGGCCCGGTCACAGCTGCGACCCCTGCGACCGCGGTAGTTTTGCCACTGGCCATATTCCATCCAAAGGGCATGCATCTGAATTCTTAATGATGGTTAAAGACACAGAATCTTAAGAATCTAATGTGGTTTTTCCTTGTGAGAATATTATTGCAGGTTTCCCTTATGCCAATCAAGGTTATCCATTCTCCTTTTATTTGCCTGGTAGGATCGACATCAGGAACTCCATCTTAAACTGTCACGATTCGGGGAACCCAACACGCTGGCACACACACACACACACACACAAAAGGTGCCGTACCGGACCTTAGAGTGGCCGGGCTAAGCACACACAGAATAGTCAGGAGACAAGCCGAGTAAGGGGAACCAGAAGACAGAATAACGTGAAACAAGCCGAGGTCAAAGGGTAGGAGAAAGTCACATAAACAAGCCAGAGAATACATAACCAGAAGCACAAGGTAAGTAGCAATACTAGAAAGCAAAGACCACAACAGGGCAGGGAGGAACAGGAAAGGTAAGTATTTAAACCATAAGGTTAATTCTGATTGGATAATTTCCAATCAGAATTAACAATCACACGTGGGAGATATCTGGACCTCCCACTGTGATTAAGGCACTGTGCCTTTAATGCCGGGTCAGGTGACTGACCCCGGCGTGTATAAACCTGGGCGGTCTCCCAGCGTGCAGCGTCATGTATGCTGCCGCTGGGGGACGTGGAGGAAACGGCAGGCGGCATCCGAGGCTGGAAGGATGCCGCTCGCCGGACCCACGAGGAGGAGGGGACCGCGGACGGCTGGAGGGTGAGTACCGCGAGCGGAGTGCAGCCTCCCCTCGCAGCCGCCCGCGGGATCCCGACATTAACTGCCTTTGAACAAAGCATTTGTTTAAATTTTTTAAGTCCAGAACTTGTGTGCACGTGCCATTTGCCTTCTGGGCTAAAAAAATCCTGGAATAAACTGCCATTGTTGTTTCTTTTCTTGGGACCACTGAGTGGTCCATGCTCTGAGAAGATTTTGGTGATTTCTACAAAAGCTTCAGAAATATATTTGTTTCCCAGGTTAATAGCCTTTACAATTGTATTGAGGTTTGGATGAGAGCTGCTGCTATTAATAGCTTCTTCAATCTTCTTATAACTGAGATTACTCTAGAAAAGGAGTTGAGGGCTACAGCTGCATGAATGGTGGAAACCAATACTTGTGCTCAGTGTGGCTGCTCTGTCAACTGGTAGAGTTGTACAAATGAGTATAATGGCCTCATTTTACCATGGAGTGAAATCTGTCTCTCTGGTTTGACTTGCTAGTGCTAGTTTCTTTATGTCAGCTCTTCACAATATAAATCCACTGTTTGGAATTTTTACTTTCCTGACGAAATTCTAGTGTATTCCTGATCATGGTGATCAATAGCTCTACTGCAACTGCATGTCTATCCATGGATTATTGGGCTATGGCTTTTCCTACTTCACCTTCTGAAGACATTTCTTCCTGATCAGATAGCTACTCATACCTGGCTGAAGGGCCTTTCTGCAAATCTGATGATGACTCCAGTATGTATTGCCTCTTCTTTTAAAATTTCAATGTTGATGTTGCCTCTTTCATACCTTCAATGATTGTCCATGCAAAGAATGGCATTTGGATAAAACAGAAAATAATAATAGGAAGAAACAAATAGAAACCAAGGGCTTAGGCACTAAGAAACTGACTTAAGGATGCTGAAAACTCTGATTTGTCGCAAAAAATGGGTTCCTCACCTTAACAAACTTTAGATCAGTGTTTTCTGTTTTGGATTGCCCTTCTACATGACAATTTGCCTCCTAAATCATAGTAATGCAAGTTGATATTGAGCTACTGGGGACTTAGTTACAGTACGTAATCATACAATGTATAAGCCTGTAATAATGCCACTATAGCCAATTTTTGTCAGGTCCTATCCTAGCAACCTAATGCCTACCAAAAATGTGGCACATTGGTGTTGTTGCAGGCTTTTTCAATGTACAATCATATACTGTAACTAAATCCCCATTTTTTTGCCTATGTCAGGTGTTTTTAAAACAGCTAATAATTTATATAAGCTTTGAAGTTGCTGTTTAGTAAGTGAGAGCACTGCATTTTGTATGTTGTCTTGATTGACCCCAGCTGCACCCTCATAGTGTGTGTGTGTATGTTCAAGTGAGTGACCCCCTTTTGGTTCCATATACACACACATATAAATATATGCAGGGTGACTAGATCCACCATCTTTACAGGGACACATATAAGTATATATATTTATAAAAACACATGAAAGAGGTTGCCCTGCAGTGTGTATAATGCATATTCTGCTTTATTACCTACTGCCTAATTTCTTAATTTCAGTATTCTTTTTTTACATTTACAATTCATCTTTTTTGAGTATTTTAAATTGTATAAATAAATGTTCAGTCAAATTCACATCTTACAGTTAAGTGCGTATATTCAGAATAGTCTACAATTATTTATAAAATCATATAGAATTCAATCAGTATATATTGACAAATATAATCTTACAACAACAAAAAAACTAAAAATTTGGACGGACACAGGGTCTATTTAGAGCACAAATAATGCCAATAATATATCAAGGCTCTGAAAAAGGGGACAATCATTCACAGGGCAGGTTAATTCAATAGATCACTGGTCTGGCCTGAAACTGTATTTATATAGAGTTTTTATATATATATGAAATTGTATTTATATAGAGTCTTTATATCATTATTAAAGTATAATTTTCCTGCCTCTCTCTGAAAATTTATTAGAGTTTTTATTTCGATCCCTGTTGGAGTGGTTGTATTTCTCCAATGTCTAGCTAAACATATTTTCGCTGCACCCAAAATGTTTACACATAGATACCTATTGTATTTTGTTGTAACAGGTAAATCTATGAAACAGGAAAGCTTGTGGCGTAAGGCTATATTCCAATGAGAAGAGGGTTATCAGTTGTTCTTCAACAGATTTTTTGATAGGAGCCAGTCTCGGACATTCCCACCAAATGTGAATTTGTGTGCCTGGATAGTTTTGGCAACGCCAACAAAAATGATCTAAATTTGTATTAAACTTTGCATGGCACGTAGGAACCATATACCATTTCTGTATTTATTTAAGATAGTTCTCTTGTTTAGAATTTTACCAATTATAGCAATTGTTTTACAATTAAGTTGTGTAGTATGAAGAATATCTATTAATTCTGGATGACTTGCTAGATCTGAAGTAAGAAAATGTTTAATCCTAATATATTTAAATATTTCTCATGATGGGAGAGCATACCCTAAAGTTGGAAATAGATCTTAAGGATACCTGATCATAAAGATCTGAAATTATTTTTATATTGTAATTTTGCAATTGTGGAATATCTAGATTTAGCTCTAGTATTAGTATTTACAGTTTGTCCCTTTTCAATTCTCTTTCTAAATCTAAAAACCAGGTCATCAATACCGATATTATTTGATTCAATATTTTGAGTTGTCTAAAATGTTCATCCAGAGGTAAAAATAGGGATCTATCCCTTTACATTTACTCATTTCTAGATTATACCATCTAAGATTTTTATTTCTTTTAATGTTTAAAATAAATAGATGGGAGAGCATACATGTTTCATGATTTTTTTGTAGATCTGGATATCCCAGTCCTCCTGAGAATATAACCAGGTACTCTTGGTTTTTTAGCATTCCACACATATGAAGACAAGAGAATTTCCATTTCTTTTATTATATTAGATGGAACTGGGATCGGAATAGATTTATACAACTATACAATTTTTGAAACCAAATATGATTTAAGAATGTTTACTCATCTGAGCCAAGAGATCTCTAAGCCTCTGCACCTATCTACTGTCTCCCTAAGATCTATCATCAAATCCATGTAGTTTTTATACCTCATAAACTTTGAATCTGAGCAGAGTTTAATTCCTAAATATTGTATTTCTTTGTTAGACCAATTTAATGTTTCATACCTTTCTCTTAAAGATAAATAAATGAGAAATATAAAAAGACATAGAGTTTTTAATAAAACTAAGTTTATAATTTGAAAATAGACTAAATGTCTGTAATATCCTAAGAACTTCTGGAAAAGAACGTGCCGGAGAAGATATCGTTAGAAGAATTTTTATCTGCATAAAGGGAAAACAGGTGGTCCTGTTGTCCAACCATTATTCCTTTAATTGTAGCTGTCCTTCTTAATAGGGCCACCAAAGTTTCCACTGTAAGAACATAAAGGAGGGGGGCTAGCGGACAACCCCGACGGGTGCGATTTCGAATCTTCAAGTTCAAAGAATTAAAGAAAGGGCCAGTGATTCTTGCAGTGGGAAGCGTGTAAGGTGCCATAGTCCTGTCAGCAAATGGGCCTGTAAGACCAAACACCTGCAGAGTCTGAGCCATAAATCTCCAATTTACCCTATCAAACGCCTTTTCGGTGTCTAAGGCCCTAATGATAGATGAGGTTTTCTTGTGGTGGATTTCATCTATGATGTTAATAACTCTGCTGGTGTTATTGTTCCCTGATCTGTCTACTACAAAGCCCACTTGATCAGGATGCATCAAATCCTAGATGACTAAGTTTAATCTCTGTGCCAGGATTTCAGAATATATTTTTGTCTATATTAATTAATGAAATTGGTCTATAATAAGTTTCCTTAGTAGGGTCTTTGCCTGGTTTTTAAATAGGTGAAATAGTAGCTTCGAGCATTGCAGAATTCTTAATTGCCTAATTTCTTATTCTAATACACCTTCATCTGAATTCTACATACTACAGGGCAACTATATATATATATATATATATATATATATATATACACACACATACATAAATGCAGGGGTGCACTCACAGGTCTTAGAAAGAATGACAACTAATTTATTGAAGTAAAAAAATTCTTCATTACATCTGTGAAAAAAATCTTTTATTACATCTGTGAAAAAAAATCAACGTTTCGACCCCTAAGGGTCTTTCTCAAGACCCTTAGGGGTCGAAACGTTGATTTTTTTCACAGATGTAATGAAGATTTTTTTCACTTCAATAAATTAGTTGTCATTCTTTCTTAGACCTGTGAGTGCACCCCTGCCTTTATGTATATATATTTGTAATGCGGGTAGCACCTAGGCAATTTTGCTTTTGCTTTTTTTGAGAGTGCCAAGCTGTTTCTGATTTTGTGTGTGTATATATATATATATATATATATATATATATATATATACACACACATTATGAAACAATATAATACATATGGAATATTGTGTCTATTTCTAAAATTGTCATTAATTATTCTATTAATTATAGAGTAATTGACTACATTAATGTTTTTGCAAGTCTGTTTAACAACATGTATTTTGTTTTATTTCTACATGATATCCAAGAAGAAACCATCACATTTTATTCATCTGGATGGAGATGCAAATATCTTGATAAAAACAGTATTGTAATATCACCTGCTTTATATCTCAAGTCAATCGCATCCCATAGTAAGGCAAATCAGCATTTTCCTTCCAGCCATATAGTTGACCTTAATTTGAATGGAATCTCCAGCAAACAAACGGAAGGCAAATGTAAAGTATCCACTGTGTCTTCAGAACCTTCTACAGTAAAATGTACAACAATGAATAAAGATAAAATTAATGGAACGGAGAATGGTAGAATAAAGAGACTCATTAGCATTATGGAGAATAATACACCCTGTAGAGATAAGGAAGTAAGACCCGAAAAGAAGACTGACATACCAAAAGACCAATATGATTCTAAAGAAAATGTTGGTAAAGACATTGTTTCCCGTTTGTGTGCTGTGCACATCAATAAAAAAAATTGTTGTCTTGGGGATGTTAAACGTGAGGATAAAAGTGCTGATTTGATTGAAAATTATAAAGATGCAATAGCAAAACTAAAACACCAAAAAACATGGCAACCATCACCAAATTCTTCTGAAAGTCTGGTGAAAGCTTCCTTCCATGGTCATATTCAGAAGTGCATCTTACAACTTCATAATTCAAATACGAAACAACTGACCAATCCCATTACATGTGGACTCAAAAGCTCCATTATTGAAAGAAACAGTGGTGGTAAGAAATGTTTTGAAGGAGAGAATCCATGTTTAAATTCAGAACATAGTCAGACGCATATTGCCACCAGCCCACAAACTTCAGTGACCAGAACATGCAAAGCAGAAAAGGGGAAATTTGAGTGGAGTCAGACCACACAAGAATTGTCAAAGGTGGGTATAAGTTGTTGAAATAATAAGTGGTTTGTGCTTGTGTATATGTTAAACAATAAACTCCTCACACATTTTTTCAAGTTAGTGCATTCAAATTCATGTCCATGTGTGCCTTTCTGTCCATCTGTCCGTATGTCTGTCTGTCTGTCTATCTATCTTTCCATAAACTCAAAAGTCAACTAACAGTAATACCATATGGAAATACATGGAGATTTTATGTCAGCCCAAAGCTCTGAAATTATAATTAAAATGTAATTCTCATGTTGCAACATTCATGCTATTTAAAAAAAAAAATGTACCATATTAATATCTAAAAATGGTGGTATAATTCATGAATTATAACTAACATAAGAAGGTAAATGACAACATTGAATACATTTAGAGTAGGAGAATTTGGTGTCTAATTGCATGTTATAGGATTAATTATTTCTAAAACTTTGGCTTATTAACCTTACATAGCTGCCACACATATTTTTTGTAATAATTTAATTAAGCATTTAAATTTCAGGCCACAAGGAATTAAACTACACTATGATTACTTTAGGTATTCATTTGTGATTTAACTTTGAATTATATAAAATTGTTAAGCATCAAATACAATAATAATAATACATATACAAATAATAATATTAAAAAAAAAAACAATTTTCATGTACATTTTCTTTTTCCAAATAACGCACACAATATGATTACTTGTATACTGATGTAAATTATAATTCAGAACAAGGAATTATGATTATTCTCCTGGGAAAGTTGTAAATTAGGTAAGTAAATTACTATACCCAAATATATTCTTTGTGTACAGAGTTATATTTATGTGGAACATGGTTATTCAGATGCCTCTAATAAAAGAGAGAAAAGAGACAGCAGATTAAATAGATGCAGTGTTTTCACATGTTTTATGCAGATTGGATTCCTTATTGTGCTCCTGTGTGAATGCATGCAGACTATAAATACTAAATCTAATGCCAATTCCAACACATTGCAAATGTTTCTTGATATTTTCCCAGTTGGTCTGACAAATGTTACCTAGATTTCATATGGTCTATTCTGCATATGCATATGTGGTCTATAATGTGAAATGCTTGATCAACACATCTATTATTAAAATTTTATTTTTTTTATTCTATTCTAAAAAAATATTACTGCAAATGTAATGTTTGACATGCTGTTTATTGAAGTCATGCACATAGATGTATCTTGTTAGAAAATACAAGCCAAGTCCCCTGTACAGCCACGGAACAATACATTTTCCTCATAGTATTCTATGACATTGAATTCATCTAACTATCTTAGGACAAATGATGGTCAAGATCATTTAAAAATTTGAATTTCCATGATGACTTAGGTACTGGAAAGATGTGGTTGTCAAGATGACAAAGAATATTAAAGGGACACTCTAAGCAACAAAACCAGAACATCTTAATATATTGGTTTGAGCATCTTTGCAGTCCCTTTTCTTCAGTAATGTAAAACATTGCCGTTTCTGAGAAATTTAAATGTTTGCATTTGGCTGAGGAAATGATTATAGTGGCTGTCAAACTGAGGCACTTTCTGCTTAATGCCATCAATTTTGGAGGCCTTTGTGTTCAGAGTCATTGCACAAAGCATTATGATGTAGAATGTGGCTACATTGAGAAGTATTAGAGAGAGTCCTTCTCTATGAGACACATTTAAATGGTGGAGCATGCCAGCTGCTGTGCATGCTCAGTAGCTTCTCTGGTAAAAGCATCTTATTGGATTAGGGATAATCATGATTGATAGAAGGCTAATTAGTAGCTGCATTAAGACTATCTGCCTCTTACAGATAAACTTAATAGCTTCTTCTTTTCATTTTTTTTCACACAAATAGGAGACCTTGAATCTAAAATACATTTATTTATTTTTAACATTACAATGATCATTTAATTTTCTAAAAGGGTTGAGTTAGCCAGTACCCACTAATTTCCAAGTTGGCCTTGTGGACTTCTGTTTGCAAACTTAATTTTGGTAAAGGTTTGGCTGTTATTGCAAATTTATTTTCACTTGGTCACAATCCAAAAATGTCTGAATCATTTTCTGCCAACAATACCACCAGAGTTTAATCACATGATCGAACATTGGAAAATGTATTTCTGGTCTTCTCTGTTCCATGACATTGGATTGACAACTAATCTAATACGCTTTCATCCTGTGCATTTTGAGAGCCATGGATAGCACTTTAAAAACACCCACCTACAAAAAGCCATTTTAGATGCATGCGGGAATGGTATTGCCCATCCACATAACTGTTATTATAACTTGATAACTTTTAAGATACATGTAATACCAAAGCAAGCATTCGTGAAATGCATTGGAAAGCTGTGAATACAAACAAGCTAACATTGTTAGTTGCACATTTATATTCCTTTGTAAAAACTAAAAACTTATACTAAGTAAGCTAACAAATCTTAGCCCTAGATTTACAGGGAGTGCAGAATTATTAGGCAAATTAGTATTTTGACCACATCATCCTCTTTATGCATGTTGTCTTACTCCAAGCTGTATAGGTTTGAAAGCCTACTACCAATTAAGCATATTAGGTGATGTGCATCTCTGTAATGAGAAGGGGTGTGGTCTAATGACATCAACACCCTATATCAGGTGTGCATAATTATTAGGCAACTTCCTTTCCTTTGGCAAAATGGGTCAAAAGAAGGACTTGACAGGCTCAGAAAAGTCAAAAATAGTGAGATATCTTGCAGAGGGATGCAGCACTCTTAAAATTGCAAAGCTTCTGAAGCGTGATCATCGAACAATCAAGCGTTTCATTCAAAATAGTCAACAGGGTCGCAAGAAGCGTGTGGAAAAACCAAGGCGCAAAATAACTGCCCATGAACTGAGAAAAGTCAAGCGTGCAGCTGCCACGATGCCACTTGCCACCAGTTTGGCCATATTTCAGAGCTGCAACATCACTGGAGTGCCCAAAAGCACAAGGTGTGCAATACTCAGAGACATGGCCAAGGTAAGAAAGGCTGAAAGACGACCACCACTGAACAAGACACACAAGCTGAAACGTCAAGACTGGGCCAAGAAATATCTCAAGACTGATTTTTCTAAGGTTTTATGGACTGATGAAATGAGAGTGAGTCTTGATGGGCCAGATGGATGGGCCCGTGGCTGGATTGGTAAAGGGCAGAGAGCTCCAGTCCGACTCAGATGCCAGCAAGGTGGAGGTGGAGTACTGGTTTGGGCTGGTATCATCAAAGATGAGCTTGTGGGGCCTTTTCGGGTTGAGGATGGAGTCAAGCTCAACTCCCAGTCCTACTGCCAGTTCCTGGAAGACACCTTCTTCAAGCAGTGGTACAGGAAGAAGTCTGCATCCTTCAAGAAAAACATGATTTTCATGCAGGACAATGCTCCATCACACGCGTCCAAGTACTCCACAGCATGGCTGGCAAGAAAGGGTATAAAAGAAGAAAATCTAATGACATGGCCTCCTTGTTCACCTGAACTGAACCCCATTGAGAACCTGTGGTCCATCATCAAATGTGAGATTTACAAGGAGGGAAAACAGTACATCTCTCTGAACAGTGTCTGGGAGGCTGTGGTTGCTGCTGCACGCAATGTTGATGGTGAACAGATCAAAACACTGACAAAATCCATGGATGGCAGGCTTTTGAGTGTCCTTGCAAAGAAAGGTGGCTATATTGGTCACTGATTTGTTTTTGTTTTGTTTTTGAATGTCAGAAATGTATATTTGTGAATGTTGAGATGTTATATTGGTTTCACTGGTAATAATAAATAATTGAAATGGGTATATATTTGTTTTTTGTTAAGTTGCCTAATAATTATGCACAGTAATAGTCACCTGCACACACAGATATCCCCCTAACATAGCTAAAACTAAAAACAAACTAAAAACTACTTCCAAAAATATTCAGCTTTGATATTAATGAGTTTTTTGGGTTCATTGAGAACATGGTTGTTGTTCAATAATAAAATTAATCCTCAAAAATACAACTTGCCTAATAATTCTGCACTCCCTGTATAAATATAGTTAATTATCCCCCAGGTATCAGCCCGCACTCAGACCCAAGGTCTTTTAATCTCAGTTAATTGGTCTTTTCATTCAACCTTATTCTGTTAGGTGCCAAGGTATCTTTCCCACAGCTCATGTGCCGTAACCCACCCTAAATGACACATACTCCACTGTTGTCATCTGTGGGTCAAAGTCTGCTCATGAAGTAATTAATTTTCACTTGCTGTAGCAGGTATTCAATGTAGTAGGAACAAGGGACTCCAGCAGAGTTATATGTAGGAAACTGGCTTTATTAAAGATATATTAAAAGCAAATTAAGGTCCTATGTGTTTTTCTCCCATTAGGGATTTTCTTAGGGGTTGACAAAAAAACAAAACACACTTATGCAGGGCCGTGATCACCAAATGACTGTATACTTGTTAGACACCCCAGGGCTGTCTCAGGGCCTCACCCTAAATATAAAATTAGAAAAAAGTCAATGTTCCTTATTACAAGAATAGGTGTGACCTGGAATTATCAAAGTATCCTATGCTGTGGGAAACGTAGCAAAGACGTGTATTTATAAATCGGACTGGAGAGGATCTCTATCAGAATACATCAAATTCCAAGATAATATTACTTACTGTGAGACTAGCCTTATAAGGTTACTCCTAAACCTAACCACCAATTTAGCCATTTAGGAAGTATATTAGAAAATCAGCTCTATGCTTAAAATTGCAAAAAAGGACTATATTAACTAAGCCTATTTTTTTTAGCAATATTGTCGACAAATCAATGCTGTTGATATACTCCCAAATATATTGCTCAAAAAGTCAATAGTGAGGAGGCTAAACAGATCTCTATAAATTAAGTGTTACACTGTTCTTATTCTTATTCCTGATTTAGATTAACTGTATCAGTTTGCCCTTATGATGAGGTTATGGAATCTCATATATAGGTTATGCAGACAGTTACATCACATTTAATGTGTTCCAAAATTCATTATAAAGGGATAGGAGGAATAGGATCGGTTTTCTAAGAAAAAGTCCCTCTCCCTATTAATCTAGCTAGATATGTTAAGGAACTAAAGAGATAAGAGAATAATATAAATAATCATGTTGAAACTAGTGAAACACAAACTGTGAACTAATATGCCCAAGCCAATATAAATCAAAAGAAAGTCTATGCGCATTTCAGTGCAACCTTGTGTGCACCTTCGTCAGGATTAACGTTTAACTTTCACGGGCGGGTAGGGTCACCTGAATAAAAAGTAAACGGTTTCTGAAAATTTTAATATATATTTTTGTAAAGCAGGTCATGATGCTGATGTTACAATAAACAGCTGTACATATTATGTTAACACGATTAAACGTATTACCACAATTAAAAGTATTAATTTATTTTAACCTACTCATTTTTGTTGTAGGATGTTTGGGGTTTTCCTGCTTTTCATCCATACCCTTTGAAAACACCCTTTCATTTAAATGTTTCTTATTCTTCAAGAACTCATACTAGGAGTGGTAAGGTATGATATTCTTAAAGCCAAGTCATACAGAGACAGAATCCAAGACAACAGGGTGAAATACTTTGAGACATGAAAAAAAGACTTAGGCCTTGATTTAATATTGTTGGATAATTTTTAAATTGATTCAATATTTCTGGATGAACATTTAAAATTATGTAATATAAAAAAAAAAAATAATTTTGTAAAATTTTGATAGTTTTATCTAGAGCCTGCAGGAGCATACTGTGTGAGAATCAAGTTCAATTTACAAAGCAGGGGATAAAAATGTCTAAAGCAAGTTAGCATCTGATTGAAAATAAAACCACTTCAGAAACAAAAGTGATTTAACTTTTTATCATAGAATGCTTTTAAAGGAAATGAAAACATGGTAACAGATTTATTTAAATAAGTCTTTACTTTGCCATTGTGTTCAAAAAGCATATTAAATACTTGAGAGGTAAATGTTCTTAATGTTTCATTATTTCATATGACATTAAGCCTCCCTTTCATAGATTAGAACCAGATAGAAAAAAGTTTAGTCCACCAGCTTGTGGTTCATCATTACACTGCCAGTCTAAGGCACACTAAAGTATTATTTTTATTATTATTATTTTATTATTTATATAGCGCCATCAAATTCCGTAGCGCTGTACAATGGGTGGCCCTGCTCCATGAGCTTACATTCTAGAGGTAGTGGGGTATAGTGACACAGAGGGTAAAAGTAGGGGTACGAAGTAGGTTGTTAGAAAAGTATTAATCGAGGGCTTAGTAGGTAATTGACAGTTGCAGGAGAGGAGTCATGGAGGGAGGGGGATGAAAACCTGCTAACAGTTTAATTGATATGCTTTCTTGAAGAAGTGAGTTTTCAATGATTTTTTGAATGAGTGGAGACTGGTTGAAATTCTTATGGAGAAGGGAAGGGAGTTCCACAGAAGAGGTACAGTCTTGGAAAGGTCTTGGAGGCGAGCGTTAGAGGTGGGAGTTCAGACAGAGGATATACGTAGGTCTTTGGCAGAGTGTAGGGGCCTCGACGGGACATACTTGTGTAGTAGGGAGGATAGGTAGGTTGGAGCAGCATTATGTAGGGACTTGTAAGCAAGTACCAGAATTTTTAATTGAGCCCTATATCTAAATGGAAGCCAATGCAGTTTGAATTTTCATGGGATTAGTCTTTTACCTCTTCATAAACCAAATAATTAAGGTACAGAATAGACTTGAGCATGACAAGAAAATTTGTCTCAGCCAAATCATTTTTCCATAAAACAAACATTTTGGGTAAGCCTAAATTTTAGCCATACATCATTTTGGTACTGAAAGACTGACTTGGGAACTGAACCAAACGGGAGTGATAATGGACCAGTGTACTACAAAATGTATACATAATAGAATATAGAATATAATATAATAGAGTATTATGTATACATTTTGCAGTGATAGGAGCATTTACCTGCTATTTGGTTTACAGATCAAGTGAGAAATAGTAGCCAATAGAGGGAAAAAGAGGAGAAGCAGTAAAAAAAAAATTAAAAAAAATCTATATTTTTATATTTTTACTGCTCCTTCTTGTTCCCCCTCTATTGGTCACTTATCATTTGATCTGTGATTAAATGAACATTTAATGACTGTCCCGTAGCTTTTTTGTCCTATCAATAATATCTTTTTTTAGCGCCTTTGCAATACTCAGCATCACGACCCAAAATAAACACTCTTGCCTAGAAATTCGACGGATCACAATATAGGGCTAAATTCTGACAAATCTCTACGTTGAGTACAGAATTTATATTACTATTGGGTTATCAGTATATTTAATGCATTGTTTTATCACATAGTCATGAGATATGGTATATTAAATTTGGAATGGAAACATTACAAATATTGATACTGTCCTTATATTTATTATGCTGTATTCTATTTTGTATATAAAGAGAAATCTGTCAGCATCAAGACATATCATTTCTCCCCAAAGCCATATGAGAGATGTATATGAAAAAATAAATGATCTACTACCTGCTGGAAGTCAAGTTACCCTGGGGCTAATGCTAAACACTATACAACAAAGACTCAAACCCAACCATATCAGTGTCATATTTGGACAAACACACAGGTAAGAGTTATTTGAAACATTCATTATCTAACAGGTTGGATTGTACAACATGTGAAGAATTATAGTCTCTCTCTCCCTCTCCCTCCTTCTCCCCCTCTCCCTCTCTCTCCCTCCCTCTCCACCTCTCTCCCTCCCTCTCCCTCCCTCTCCCTCCCTCTCCCTCCACCTCTCTCCACCTCTCTCCACCTCTCTCCACCTCTCGCCACCTCTCGCCACCTCTCGCCACCTCTCTCCACCTCTCTCCCTCCCTCCCTCCCTTGGGGATAGGAGGAAGATGGGCTGAAGGAAAGACATAGGTGGCATGCCATAGGACACCTGTCACCAGCATGCTTTGTGTGCTGACATCAGATGTCTCATGTTCTAGAATGTAATAGGCACGTGCTACTGTTTATGGAGAAATGTTGCACATTCAGACTCCAGGCACCATGACCACTTCAAATCACTGAGGTGGTCTTGGTGCTAGAAGTAAACCTTAAAACATTTCAGTTTTTATCTGGAAATTATAAATATTCAGCAATGGCTTTACACAGACTGGCAGCAGATATTAATTGGTTGGAATGGAAAAGAAGTCTGGAGGAGAAAAACTTATTTTTTAGGTGGATATTTATTACAAGAGCTTTCAAATAAATGGATGGGAATTTTACCTACTTCAAAATGTATTTAAGAATTTTGAATGTATAAGATGCAGGCAATTTTAAACCCACATGTACATAATTCAGTAAAACCTAAAACAATTTATTCAGACTCATTAATGCCAAATCGTAAGAAAAAGATGCAGAGTGAAAATGTTTGACATAATATTACTCACGATTATACAAGGATAAGTGGGTAACTAAGATCAAATGTGTTTGTGCTGTGACTTCTGGTAATTCAATTAAAGTCCTGTAGCTTGCTGCATTCCGTGTAAGTACACAATTGCAAAAGTGGAGTGGGTTATTAAATTGTCTGGATCTTCAGTCTGTGACTTCAGTTCTAGCATCTTAATTGAAACAGAGAACTTCATTACTTTTGATAGAACTTGGAGCACTTCAGGCTGTACATTTGAAACTGTAACAGCATAATTGGGCAACATTCATTGTCTTCTCTGTTTTCTTAGGGCATTAAGGTATTTAATGAATCTGGTATTTCCTAGGTAAAATCGTGTTTGAACAGATTTAAGTAATTTCACAATATAAACATTACAGAGCAATAAAATTTAAATGAGAAACAATTTTGACTTCACTTCTGTGTAGGAGTTATGGAGTTGATGGTTTGGTGAAGACTGCCAGACAGCCGAAGGGTTGCTGGTGTACGGTTTCAATAAAGAGAATTTTGAACATTTATACAAATGCTACTTTTGTATATTTTATTTGTTAATTCCTGTGTGGGTGAAACTAGTAAGAGTTTGTTTATATTATAAAGGATTCATGCAGATTATAGCTAAATAAAGGACTGGGAAAATCATTGTTATTCATTTGGAATGCCCAGATTCTATAATCATATCAAAATTGTAATAAACGTGAAATAATTTTTTTGCTTGAAACACTGCACATACAGAGCTATTTGCACTTTTGTGCTAGTGGCTAGTTACGTCCCCAGCACATGTGACTTTGGCAGCCCAGAAAAGCCTAATCCTAATGTCCATTCTGTGCATAGTTTACCTCTGTCATCAACACACACTGCAAGCTGGCAACAGGTGTAAGCTTGCTCCCCCCTCCCTCACTGCAGCACTCCTGCCTTCAAAATACCCTTCTTTATTTTTTTTCAACTTCTGTTCCCCCTCCTAACCCTTTCCCCTCACTGGCTCAGATCATGTGCATGTTCTCTGAGCCAGCTAAACAGTCCATTGAGAGGCGTCTCTATGAAAAGCCTTTGATTGGACCTCAGCATCTACAGTGATGTCAGGAGGTGGTGTGGAAAGCAGCACCAGGAGCTTCGCTCAGCACTGGATTATTATTGCTTATTTTATTACTTATTTTAGATGTTTGTGGGGTGGGGGGACTACCTAAAGAGTAATGCCCTTATAGTTAATGAGGGTTGGAGTATTTATTTAATGAAAATTGTGATTGGTGTCAACAGGCAGCTGCACAAAGCCACATGCTTAGAATTGTAGAATGCCATATGTGCCATTAAGTGACTTTACGGTTTTATCTACCCCCGTGCACTGAGGGTGTCACGGCTAATCGCGATTCTGCTGGAGTGGCCACAATGAAACATAGTGGCTACGCCGACAGAAAAAAAAAAACGTGTACCCGACCTACTTCTATTCCAGTCCCCAGTGAGTACGGCATTCCTAGAGATGCCAGCTGCTGCAGTTTCTGGTTTTAAGGGGAGACCTACCTCCGCACACATCAGATGGCACCAATGTGCGTGCGACGTCACATCACAGACACGCACGCACGTTTGCGGGTCAGAGGTCAGAGACAGCCAATTACAGCCTAAGGAGGGTTATTTAAACCCAAATTACTTTTATGTCAGTGACCTGTCTTGGTTTCCACTAGCTGGTTATCTGAGAGTGTGCTCCTGATTGCGTTTTTTCTGTTATTTGACTTTGCCTTAGTTTTGACTTCTCTAATTTCTGGTATCCTTGACTTTTGGCTTTCCTCATCGTTGTGTCTCTTTCTGTGTCCATGACCTCGGCAAGTATTTCAACTATTCTCTGGTACTTTAAGTTCGGCAATTCTAAGGTCCAGTTAAATGTTATCCTTAGTCCTAGGTGTGATACTATTCTGCGTGCTGGATCAACTATAATCCTGACATAGGGTCTCAGAGTGGAAGGTTATAGGAGGATTCAAGAATGCAATAATGCTGATGCAAGGCCACTGCAAGACTATATAGTCAAGATTAGCTACTTGCACCCCTCCCCCACAAAACAACTTTGTTTGTCTCTTTCTTCCCCAGTCCCTTTGCATATCTCGTTCTACTCAAAACCCCTTTGTGTGTCCTTTCTTCCTTTCTTCTGCCCCTCTGTGTGTCTATTTTTCTCCTCCAACTCCCTTGTGTGCATCTTTGTTCCCCAAGAGCTTCTGTCTTTGTCCCCCAACCACTTTGTGTGTCTCGTTCTCCCCCAATCGCTTTGTGTCTCTTTTTTCTCTTTTTTCCCATACCTCTGTGTGTCTCTTTCTTCCCAGCACCTTTGTGGGTCTCTTTCTCCCTCACCAGCCCTACTGTGTGACTCTTTGACCCCCACCAACTATGTGTCTCTTTGTGTCCCTCAGCCCCTGTGTGTCTCTTTGTACCCCTCCCCAGCCTTGGTGTGTTTGCTCGTGTCCCTTCAGGCCTCTTGGTGCATCTATGTCCTCCCTACCCCCCATGTGTGTCTTTGTGCTCACCCAGCCCCTGTGCATTTCTTTGTTTCCCCCTGCTCCTCTTTATACCCCCAGTTGCCGTATGTCTCTTTGTCCCCTCAGTCCCTGTGTGGCTCTTTGTGCCCCTCCAGTCCCAATGTGTGTCTTTGTGCCCCTTCAGCTCTTGTGTGTCTTTTTGTGCCCTTTAATCCCTCTGTGCACCTCTTTGTCCCTCCCCAATCCTTTTTTTGTGTGTCTTTGTGCCCTCCTAGCCCCTATGTGTGTCTTTGTCACCCCCTTCCGCCCCTGCCTACTCTCCTGTGCTGGCTCACCTCCCATCATGTAGCGTGGCTGAGCAGAAAGCCTGACATTAAACTGTTCATTTCTACCAGCGAGCAGCTTCCTGTCAGACCGGGTAGAGAATACAGCAGATCTTCTACCCATGGTGAGCTGCCAACGCTATGTGGAATGATCAGGAGGAGAGTGCACTCTCCCGTGCCTGTTACCCGGACATTGCACCCCAGGCCAGCCTTGTGCAGATGCATCACTACTGGCACTTTAAGTGCTGCAGTATCAACATAGGAATTGGGTAATGCTTTAGTGGTGCTGAAAGGGATAATGAGGTGTTGTATTGCTAACACTGTGGGCATGAAATCCAAGCTTTAAAAATTTCAAACTATTTGCCAGCAAATAGTATGTGGTGGTGGGCCTCCACTTCCTAGTCAACTGCCATATTAAAAAGTAAAAACACATTCACATAGGGTTCAATATGACACGCATATTATTATTATAAGGAGGTATACATTATGCTCAAACCCTCCATATCATGGGTGGGGGCATATTTGCCAAACAGTTACTAAAACTAGTGAATTGACAGTCACTAAAAAGCCCCCTATTTATTGTGTGAAATCTGCCTGGATGCCTGGATCCTAGACTTTTGGGGATTTTAATGCAAAAAGCAATGATTATAAACTAGACACCGAATGCATCTAGATGAATGGTTGAGTCAGAATAGGCAATTGGCTTTAGTAAAAATGAATATTGCCAATCCAGTTGGAATTTGGTGATTTTCCCCAAATTTTGTCTAATTGGACAAAATATTGTCTTTAACCCCTTAAGGATGGCGTGCGTGCTATGCCAACCATTGGGGACCCGGCTCTAAATGCCGGCGGGCGGCATAGCACGACCCCGCTGTCCTATGTACTTACCCGGTTGTGCTGGGGGGACTCACCCGGCTTCCCAGGGAGTCCGCTTGCTGCTGTTCCGGCCCTCCTTGCCCATGTGAGCGCATGGTCCTTGCGAGAACCTCACGATCACATGGATGCAATAGCCGTCCACAGCAGTGCCAGCAGGGGGAGTGCCTAGAATAACAGGTTCTCCCCCTGCTGCCTGTAAAATGTAAAAAAAAGGTTAAAACAGTTTAAAATAGATTATATATACTTAGATCATATATAACACACACACACATATATATATATATATATATATATATGATTTAAGTGTATGATCAAATTATTATGCAAATTCTATTTAAGTGTCACAAAGATTAAACATTTTGTTTTTCAGTTTAATTCATGGATGGCATTGTGTCTCAGGGCTCTTTTGATCACTGAAAACAATCTCGGACACCTGTGATAATTAGATTGCCAGGTGAGCCCAATTTAAGGAAAAACTACTAAAGGAAGGTGTTCCACATTATTAAGCAGAGCACCATTTTCATGAAATATGGGGAAGAAAAAGGATCTCTCTGCTGCCAAAAAGAGTGAAATAGTTCAATGCCTTGGACGAGGTATGAAAACATAAGATATTTCACGAACACTTAAGTGTGATCATCACACTATTAAGAGTTGTTTTAGCTCATTCAGAGCACAGACGGGTTCGTGCAGATAAAGGCACATTGAGGAAGATTTCTGCCAGATCCATGCATCGGATTAAGAGAGCAGCTGCTAAAATACCATTACATAGCAGCAAACAGATATTTGAAGCTGCTGGTGCTTCTGGAGTCCCACGGACATCAAGGTGTAGAGTCCTCCAGAGTCTTGCAACTGTGCATAAACCTTCTATTCGGCCACCACTAACCAATGCTCACAAGCAGAAACGGCTGCATTGGGCTGAAAAATTCATGAAGATTAATTTTCAAATAGTCCTGTTCACTGATGAGTGCCGTGCAACCCTAGATGGTCCATATGGATGGAGTAGAGGATGGTTGGTGGATGGCCACCCTGTTCCAACAAGGCTGCGACGTCAACAAGGCAGTGGTAGAGTCATGTTTTGGGCCGGAATCATGGGAAGAGAGCTGGTCGGCCCCTTTACTGAACCAAGTGTGAGAAAGCCATTCACAACGGATTTTAAAGGTCTAGGGACATAGTCTTAAAGGGGCATTGTCACACAAAGTCTCAATATGTCCCCAGACGGTTCTTAAAGGGCCAGCGTGGTCCAATAAAAGTTCATTATGCCCAAATAATTATCTTTAAAGGGCAATACCGCCAGGGGCCATAGTCACAAGGCAGGAGGCAGGCAAGTTGTCCCCTCCAAAACTCGTGGCAAACACCCTTAAGTGGATGAGTTTGCCACACACAACAAATGACAATTTTCAATTCTTTACAACCTATAATGTGTTTTGAAACTTACTGTGCGTAATAATTTGGAACAGTGTATTGTAAGTTTATGTTTAAAACAAAATATTGTTATCATTACGAGGTTTGTTCAATAAAATTTGAATTGTACTCTTAATAGTTGATAACATGAGAATTATGCTGTTATTTACATCAATTATTTAGGTAAATGAGAAAAATATAATTTGCATAATAAGTTGGAACAGGGTGTATATACACATACACATACGCTGTGTAAGTGTATTATTATATATATTTATATAGTAATATCAAAATACACTGGAATGATATTGATTAAATATATATATATATATAATTATAATTATATATATTTATATATTATAAAATAAATAAATATGCAAATACATAAAAAAAATAATAAATAAATATATATATATATATATGTGTAATTTCATTCTTTCATGTTAGCATGTTAAATTTTTCAGTTTTTTCACATTGAAATTTGCCATATTGGTTAGCAGAGATTGGTCCTTAATGGGTTAAATTTTCAATAGCAGAGATTGGTCCTTAATGGGTTAAATTTTTATTTGAAAGCATCTATCATGCTCTGAGCAATAGGCATCTAGGAGGATCAGTCTCTGAAGCAGTGTGTTTAGTCATTTGCATTTAATGCAAAGTACAGGAGGACCCTGACTCGTATGTTTAATATCTCCTCAGGGTAGTTCAAGGATTACACAAAACTCCCGTTACTATCGTTTGGTTGATTTTCCAGGAAAAGTAGGTGAAAAGTTCATGCCTTATCTTTTAATAGTGAGCGCTCACATTTATGTCAGCATTATGCATTAAGCATTTTGCAAGTTGTCAAGAGTAGTATCCAATTTGTATATAGAAGTTAATTTGTGCATCTATACAAGTATGCACGCACATTCGCTTTATGCCTGCTCTCCCATTCTATGATACAAAAGTAGGAACATTCATTGTACACTATGAACTTGCCATGGAGACAAAATGAGAAATGTTTTGACCTTCCTGACTTTGCTGCATAAAGATTTATCCATTTCAAAATATCAAAATATAATGGTTATATGAGAATAAAAACAAGCCTTGAATAAAAATGTGTCAGAATGTAATAATATATTATATGACTCTACTTTCATGTCCTATTCATAATATACATTGCTAGGAACACATCTTTTATGTATACCCAGCTGTTTTATCCATATGTCTTACTCATTTTTGAATTAAGGAAACATCAAGCATAAAAAAAGGTGATTTGATAGAATGTGAATAAAAATTTAACCCATATGTTTGTTAATGCTCGTAAATGTAACCTCATAATGAAATTGTAATAATGTTTTAATGGGTATTTTTTTTTTATATATAATATTCAGATCTGGAACTCGTGGGAAAAAAAGGCAATTAAAAATTTGTCAACCAACCATCTGTTCTATTTTAAAGCTCTTTATCACACAGGACTTTCACAGTAAATGTTTGAAGGTTGTTGGTAGGATTGTATGTATAGTTTAACATCCACGGCTTTGAAAATGTCTTCACATTAAACATAAAAATTCAGGTTTTATGGATTCCAACACCATTTAAAGAGAGGTTAAGTAGCAGTTTTCATTTAGTAGCAAGTTAATTTAGAAAAGTGACAATTTCTATTAAAATCTGCACTTTTTGTAAAATTAAAAAAAAGGTATACACTATTCACACACAAATCTCTTCATGGGGTTAAAGTGTTTTAAGTTTTTTGTAGGGTTCCTTTAGATTCTTTAATATTTAGTCAGTAGTCACAATTTTAAGTGTGCACTTACTTTAGAGCACTCGGTTACATATTTTAAGTGTTTGGTCCAGCTGATCCCTGTTTTATTTCTTTATTATTTCTTTATTTGATTTCTTTTTTTCTTTCTTTGATTTACTGGCTGTCCTCTAACCATTAGTCATCTCTTTTGTTGGTGCTAAGAACTGAAAGACAAATCACGAATCAAACTAACCTATTTGGCCATTGTCTTTGTCATTTGTTTCGTGATATGGCGGTTTAGAGTTATGGAATTTGGAAGATTTGGAAGAATGCTATCTGCTATCCAGTATTTGAATACAACCATAATACGGTCTTCTAAAATGAATGGGACTCACTAGCAGTAGTGGTAGATGTCTCTTCGTTTTCTTGGGTTTTCTCTATACTTGGCTGTTCATCAAAGTATTTTACAGTTGATGTTCCAGGAGGGATAAGCCAAATGGAAAATGATTTAGAAAAATGGTCAGAGCTTGAGCAACTGACATTTAATGTGGATAAGTGCAAGATAATGCTCCTTGGACATAAAAATAAAAGGCAGAGCACAGGATATTTGATACCCTACTAATCTCAACATCTGAGGAAAGGGATTTAGGAGTAATTATTTCAGATGACTTAAAGGTAGGAAGACAATGTAATAGAGCAGCTGGAAATGCTAGCAGAATGCTTGGTTGTATAGGGAGAGGTATTAGCAGTACAAAGAGAGAAGTGCTCATGCCATCGTACAGAACACTGGTGAGACCTCACTTTAGAGAGAGTTTAGAGAAGGGCTACTAAACTGGTTCATGGATTGCATGATAAAACTTACAAGGAAAGGCTAAAGGAACTTAACATATATAGCTTGGAGGAAAGACGAGACAAGGGGGATACAATAGAAACATTTAAATACATAAAGGGAATTAACACAGTAAAGGAGGAGACTATATTTAAAAGAAGAACTACCACAACTAGAGGACATAGTTTTAAATTAGAGGGGCAAAGGTTTAAAAATAATTTCAGGAAGTATTACTTTACTGAGAGGGTAGTGGATGCATGGAAATGCCTTCCAGCTGAAGTGGTAGAGGTTAACACAGTGAGGGAGTTTAAGCATGTGTGGTATAGGCATAAGGCTATCCTAGACTTAAGATAAGGCCCGGGACTAATTCAAAGTATTTTGAAATATTGGGCAGACTAGATGGGCCAAATGGTTCTTATCTGCCATCACATTTTATATTTCTATGTTTCTATGTTACAGGGGTGTCTTCCTAGGGTATAGTTTTAGGTTTTCCTAGTTACATGTAGTTCCTTGTTCAATATCGAAGATATCATGTAAGCCTCCAAGTCCGGATGGACCAAATCTCCTTTCCCCTGCACCACTCTAATTGCAGAAAGGGACAACACATTTAGTATATTATGCCTACAAGGAAGCATTATGATAACAAAATAAGAACATACTTTATTTATTTAATAATCTGGACCACTTGAGGCATTGCTATTAAAAAGGTTGACTTACCCTAAGTATTAATATCCATCTAGGATGTTCTGAACTTGAAGTATCACTTAAAGTAAAACACTTTATATGATTACACTACATAAAGTATATCGGTAGCATATTTACAATGTATGTATGTATATATATATATATATATATATTATATATACACACTATATATACACACACACACACATTTGTGTTCGGTGCATTCTCATATGATATAGAATAAGGTGGGTTGTAGAGATGTAGCTTTAGGAATAATCGGTTGAGGTGTCCCGAAACCGACGTATGCTGTAGGCTGGTAAAAAGTGGGCTTACATAGAGGAAATATGAACAATGGGAGTGGAGGGTGGGGCTATTCGTCTGACCAACAAAGGTAAGAAGGGAAAGGGGGGAGTCCCTTTTATAGGTCTATAGCCCCTCCCACAACTTCAGGCCATACCTTCCAATTTGTGTTCGGGGCATTCTCATATGATATAGAATAAGATGGGTTGTAGAAATGTAGCTTTAGGATGTATGCTGTAGGCCGGTAAAAAGTGGGCAAAAAGAGACATATTAATGCAAAACATTATACAGGATAATAGTGCATTTGTTAACCATCAGGTACACATTTAAATGAAAGCTTCCTAATTCCTGAATTCCTATGATTCCCAGCGGCCCCGTGTCTTAACGTGTGCGGGGATGTCTTTGACTGTGGAGGCTGCTCCTATCCTAAAGGAGTGCCCTGAGTAGTCGCTAGGGTTTAGTTCAAGCCCGGTGAATGAGTAGGTGCATGAACTTACCTGTGGTAAGGACAGTATTGTACAGCGACAGTAATGGTTAAGTGGTGCATATGGTGGCGTGCCCAAGAACGTAACCAGTACCTTAACTGGGCACCCAGCATTGCTTGTAAGGTAGTAGGTTATATGCACTGGCTCGCCCATCTGACTTGTCTTAGTTTTAGGAAGGGACCGGACAAAGTGGTCTGTGTGTTTTAGAAGATAAGAGGTCAACAGGCACTCTTGTTTATGATGTTGGCCGCTGATAGTGAGTTATTATTATTATTTTTTGGGGCTGGAGAAAGCCGTTAAAGGCTAGATAGGTAGCAGTTTTGATAACTGCATTGGTGCGTGGCTCGGAAGGTGCATGGTCAAGTGGTTCTGACATGGGTTGAACATTGTATGTCTATGGCCAGTATTTAGTTTTAGCGGGAACTTCCGCTTGGCTATGTCTGGGTGGATGGGGTAGGAGGATAGGAACCCTTGTTGTTTGGGAAGGAGAAATACGTATAGTGTTGAATGCCCGTGAGATAAGTTTAACCGTGTTGTGTGAGAATTTTTAACTTAAGGTGGCAAAAAAAGGCGAAGGCCATAAGTGGTGAAACCTCAAACCAGCTATCTAAGTGATGGTCCGACATGAAACGTATTGTACAAGTGGAAATCCCTGTAGCAAGCGTATTGAGTGCTGGTGGACAAGGCCAGGTTAGTCAGAGCCCGGCTATGTTGGCGAGGTTCATGTAACCATGACGTTGACCATAAATGACCCCCCTGCCATTGCGGCTGTCACGGCAGCTGCCACAATAGTTTACCATTACGTGTGGTTAAGAAAGTCCACCATATGTGTAGGTCTGCCGTGGCTTGGTTTTCTAGGGACAGCCCCTGATCATCATGCTGTAGTGTGGAAAAAGCAAAGTGGTCTTAGATGAAAGCGCAGCCTGCGGTATGATGCACATGGCAAAATCTAAGGAACCTGGTAGGGATTGTAGTTCCATGCGGTTGCAAGTACCAAGCAGGAGGTGGTAATTGGTGTTGTTGTGACTGTTCCTATTTCTCACGTGGTAACTTGTTGGCATGGATGCAGAGTCAAGTTGTATGCCCAGGAATGTAACGATAGTGTCTGGGTCTTCTGTGACCTTAGGGAATACTGGGACACCCAAGTGTTCAGACATACTAATGGCTTCCTTGAAGCTTCTAGTTGCCCTTTGACCAACAGGAATTCATCTCGGGATTGTATGACTGTGGGGCATCTGGATATGTTTAACCACAACCAGCAAAGAGTTCAACGAATATACTGAAGATTGTGGGCTGCTCTTGACCCGAAAGTTAAGTGGGAGTAGAAATATATAACTGCTGCCCATAAATGTCCTGTAAGTGCCAGTGTAGGTTGGATGGTGGCAGTCTGATATGCGTTTGTGATATCAGTTTTACTTAACCAGGCTTCCCACCTGCTTGAGTGATAGCTGTAATGGTATGAACAATGGTAGCATACTGTAATGAAAACTCCTCGGAGGGTATGAAGGAGTTGAGACTTGGGGTAGCCGAGGCGTGAGGTGCAGATAAGTCTATGATCAGTTACAGTGGGAGGGAAGATTCCCTGTGACAATCCCAATGGGATTGTGCCACGCTGTAAATGGTGTAGATCAGAGAGGCCCAGGTAGAAATCTTTCTGCCATTTCTTGGGCCATGAATGTAATGCCAGCTGTTGGATGCTGCTGTGATGAGTGCAAGTTAGGGCATTCTAGATTCCCCCTAAAGTATATGGTAATACCTGTATGGAAGGCCTTTAAAATTCGGAGGTTAGGAAATGAACAAAATGTCTGGAAGGGTGATGAGTTAGAAAGTACTGGAAATGCATAATGTTTACAGACGTGAAGTAAGGTTCAGGGTACATTTATTGGGACACATGGTTTTTTCATGTGCCCTGACATATTGAGAACATATCTGCAACAGTCTTCATGCACTGAAACTACATGTGCCAACATGGAAATTGTTGCCAATCTGGGATTTGCCAAAGAAAATGAGACGACCCAATTTGTCTCTGGTAGTTCTCTATGTACTACCAGAGGTGCTAGAGCCTGGAGCCTGAAACATGATCATCCACTGTGTTGGGACAAAGTTGTCGTGTGGGACTGGCAACATCTTCTCCAAGTGAAAGTGTGTTGACTCTAGCTGGAGTGTTACGTAGAGAGAAATCCTTGCCACCTGCTTGATATATACTAAAAAACATGAAGATATTATATGAACCCAGAGTGTGCTAGTACTGACTTGCTAGCTAAAGCCGCATGGAGAAACAATTAATCCTTTGTTTGGTGACAGGTGAGGCCCTGCTAGTTGCCAAGTGGCTTGAGAGGCTCTATCGATTTTTGTTGCCACCAAACGTAGTGGCAGGATGTTGGCCTCTCGGTGACTGTAACCAGAAAAAAGGGGAAGGGAGTGACAGGTGAGGCCCTCTCTAAATACCATGCGAGGCTGCTAGCTCACGTGTGGCCCGATGGGTGTTTGCCTCCGAGCGTTGAGGCTGGGTGTTGGCCTCGCGGGACCACTATACGACAGGCGTAGATGCCAAGAAAGGAGAATACCTATTGGAAACCTATAGTCCCTAACTGCCAGTACGCTAAGGATATACCCAGGGGAAACAGAAAATGTATGTATATACCACATGAGCAGGTGTATGTACCTGGTAGTATGATTAGATACCCTTACTGGTCGTAAGGGTTATTAATACTTGTATCCCGGACGGGTAAAACAATGTATGAAAATTGAATATAGACATTTAAAAGCGTATAACCTTATGTGTGTTATGCAAGTTTAATAGAGCAAAGTGCTCCGTCCCAATGTTTATTGTATGCTTGTAATGCCCCTGTTTGAAGGAAATTAACTTGTTGGGAGTGTTATATCATGTGTGATATGGAATACAACTGTACCCCGAAACATGAGTGTAGTGAACCATGACTGGCAGCTGAATAACCTAATATGTGAAAATACGTAATTGGAAGGACATATTTTAAGCATGCAAACATACAAATATTCCGTATTAGACTCTGGAATCCTGCATAGTGCTTTAAATAATATGTGCATTCTTGGGTAAATGTATGCGTATTGTCAGTAAATGTAACTAAATGCCTATGTAGCCAGGTATGCAGGAATGATTATATCATAGCAAGCATGAGTTGTAAGGAAGTGTTATTGTGTAATTATAATTATAGTGGGAATGTTATGAGGGGAATAACCATATGTCTGAAAAGCCTGTAGTATACCGTTTGACAGATAGTAGTATAAAAGCGAAAATGCTGTAGTTAGTTTGTTTGCTTATGAAGTGAAATAAAGATTATTTCTGATGACTTAAAGGTAGGCAGACAATGTAATAGAGCAGCAGGAAATGCTAGCAGAATGCTTGGTTGTATAGGGAGAGGTATTAGCAGTAGAAAGAGGGAAGTGCTCATGCCATTATACAGAACACTGGTGAGACCTCACTTGGAGTATTGTACACAGTATTGGAGACCGTATCTTCAGAAGGATATTGATACCTTAGAGAGGGTTCAGAGAAGGGCTACTAAACTGGTTCATGGATTGCGGGATAAAACTTACCAGGAAAGGTTAAAGGATCTTAACATGTATAGCTTGGAGGAAAGACGAGACAGGGGGGATATGATAGAAACATTTAAATATATAAAGGGAATCAACACAGTAAAGGAGGAGACTATATTTAAAAGAAGAAAAACTACCACAACAAGAGGACATAGTCTTAAATTAGAGGGACAAAGGTTTAAAAATAATATCAGGAAGTATTACTTTACTGAGAGGGTAGTGGATGCATGGAATAGCCTTCCAGCTGAAGTGGTAGAGGTTAACACAGTAAAGGAGTTTAAGCATGCATGGGATAGGCATAAGGCTATCCTAACTATAAGATAAGGCTAGGGACTAATGAAAGTTTTTAGAAAATTGGGCAGACTAGATGGGCCGAATGGTTCTTATCTGCCGTCACATTCTATGTTTCTATGTTTCTATGTAAGTCTGAGAAGCCTGTAGTATACCGATTGACCGGTAGGGGTCAGCATGTAGGCGAAAATGCTGTGGTTCGTTGGTTTGTACAGGAAATGCAATAATGTCTGAGAAGCCTGTAGTACACTGAATGACCGGTAGGGGTCAGTGTGTAGGTGAAAATGCAGTGGTTTATTGGTTTGTACATGAAATGCAAAAACGTCTAAGAAGCCTGTAGTACACCGAATGACCGATAGGGGTCAGTGTGTAGGTGAAAGATGCAGTGGTTCGTTGGTTTGTACATGAAATGCAATAATGTCTAAGAAGCCTGTAGTACACCGAATGACCGGTAGGGGTCAGTGTGTAGGCGCAAATGCAGTGGTTTGTTGATTTGTACATGAAAAGCGATAATGTCTAAGAAGCCTGTAGTACACAAAAGACCGTAGGAGTCAGTGTGTAGGCGAAAATGCAGTGGTTCATTGGTTTGTACATGAAATGCAATAATGTCTGAGATGCCTGTAGTACACTGAAATGACCTGTAGGGGTTAGTGTCTAGGTGAAAATGCAGTGGTTCGTTGGTTTGTATATGAAATGCAATAATATCTGAGAAGCCTGTAGTACACTGAATGACCGGTAGGGGTCAGTGTTTAGGTGAAAATGCAGTGGTTTATTGGTTTGTACATGAAATGCGATAATGACTAAGAAGCCTGTAGTACACTAAAAGACAGGTAGGGGTCAGTGTGTAGGCAAAAAATTGTATTTCGTTTGTAGTTTTAACCGAACAGATTTTAACCAAAACAGATTTTAACCAAAACAGATTTTAAACAACAGATTTTACATGAACAGCTAGGTGAGTATAAGGTAACGAAATAACCGTGCAAAACGAAAGGAAACCGTAAAGTGAGGACCCGTGCTGTGCTGAACACCATGGGAACTAATCCTGGCGCGACAGGTGGGTCAACGGTTTGAGAGTCCCTGAGACACCAAATGCGATGCTGACCGGAGAGAAAGCCACTGGATTAATGGAAAGCCCTCCTGCAGGATTCCTGGACACAGCTTGGAGTAGGAGACCTCATGGAGCAAAGGTGAAACCAAAATGGCGTCTTGTATCACCTGGAAGTGGATCTCATGCAAATGCTGACCTCAAACAGTCTATTTGTCTGACCAACAAAGGTAAGTAGGGAAAGGGGGGAGTCCCTTTTATAGATCTATAGCCCCTCTCACAACTTCAGGCCATGCCTTCCAATATATATATATATATATAAAAAAAAATAAGAATAATTTATCAACAATATAGACTATTATTCTTATGCAGCACAACTTATTGATGCATATTGCAGTTACTATAAGTATACAAACAGTTCATTGTTGTTTGTACCCCTCTATGATTATTGGGCATTTTTCTCTATATGCCTGTCGTGATACGCTTTTAGCTTTATATTTTATATATAACCATCTCTGCTAAGTGACTTTTCCTTATCCATTTATCTCTTTGTTCTTGCCCCTTTGTTCTTGATTTTATCTTGTTCTTTTGTTCTTCGTATTGCTTTGTTCTTTTGCAACAATTTCTTGCTTCCTCTGTAAATTTCTTACTTTCTTTGCATCCAATATAGTGCCCATGTTGATGCCACATTATCCTCTGTGTACTCTTGTTACTTCCTTCTCCATTGTTGTTTTTCCTAGTCTCCTCTACTTGTCTATTGGTCATCTTTCCCTGTGCAATTTGTTACAATTTAACTCAGTATGCCATTTCTTTCTCGTCACGATTATCTGGAAGCATTTTTACTATTAGTGCAACCTCTTTACCCCAAACATCCATTTGGTGGCATTTATCCTATATGCGCATCATTTTTACCCTCAGTTCACATTGTTCCCTGTTATACATATGTTCTGCTCAGTTGCCCAATATTTTGATCTTGTGGATTATTTTGTCACATTTTCCCTGTATTCTTATGCCTCTCCATTTGTATGTTTCTTTCCTTTGCCTCCCCATATCCATTTCCCCAGCAAAAAATTACAATGTCAATATTCATCAATCCCATATGATCTACACCCGATGGGAAATGAAGTTTATACCAACATAACCATGTGTGCTTCCTCTGTAGGTCACCCTTAAACAAACATACAGCAGTGTTAAGATGTATGTTAAATGTGCAAAGAGCTATCAGTAGTATCTGGAAAGAGGGAGGGAGACGTGAAGGAAAGAATTGTAAGGGGGGATTGCAATCATGGCTAGTATTAACATTTAAAATATGTTGTTGTTTTTTTTAAGGCCCTTAACCCCTTAAGGACCAAACTTCTGGAATAAAAGGGAATCATGACATGTCACACATATCATGTGTCCTTAAGGGGTTAAACAGACCAGCTAACTAATTATTAAAAAGAGAAATGTCTGTATTCCATATAAAAAGAATGTTACATTTATAACGATAAGGACTAATGTAGCACAGTGTGCACTGCTGTATCTAATGATGATGTGGAGACATGGGGTATAGCCATATACACGACACTGTTGATTTAGTAGGGCCATGATGTATAATTTGTCTTTGGATCATACCTGGATCATACCTGGATCATACTGTCACTTAATTTTTAATTTTCATAATAAAGATATGTGTGTCCTGATTTATAATGATTATTGTTGCTATATTATAATTTTAACTTATTAACAGATGAGAATAACCCAGATGAATAGAGCCCTTTTAAAAGAGACAAGTGTATTCAATTTGGACAATTAATGTCTATTTTCAGTGCCTCGTGAGCCACTTTGTTATAGTGACAGCCATAAAGTATTACAGCAACAAACGTTCCATGTGACTTCTGACTCTGATCCCCTTTGAAATCAATAAAAAGGTATTCTCACTGTAAATTGTATCATGTAGCTAGAAGAAAGGTCTTGCAATCTCCATTTCTCAGTGGGAAAGCTCAGTCAGTTGTGCCTGGAAGGCACTATTTCCTAGATAGCCATCTGTAATTACTCATGCACGACACAGAAACTAGTTAGTAAAAATTAACTATGGTTATAACAATTGGACAAACACTCCCCTGTAAGCAGGGCCATAGAGTATACCATTTAATAAATGTGTCTCTTTGTATTCATATTTCAGGCTCCAAGGCAGATTAATTGATTTCTGAAGAGCAATCCACAATATACAGAATGCTAGATATTAACTATATTCTATTAGATGAACAAAATCAATGTGAAAGTCATCAGAATTCAGTATAAAGGACCTCTAGTTTTTAGGTACAGCATTTTAGGTCTTCGTAGGGGTGATTACTATTGTAATTGTACATTACAAGCTTGTTTGAGCATGGCCTTCTTTACCTCTGGACTCTGTCTATGTCAATATTATTATGCATGTCAGTTACTTATTGTCAATAATCCCCATTTTATAATTTCAAAATCTGTAGAAATGTCAGCACTATATAACTTCCTATAATACTACTATAACTACTACAACTACCACCACTAATAATAATATTATGCTCAAATATGTCATATTGAAGTTATAGTTTATGGATTATCTATTTCTGGGGTAGGCAAACTTCAGCACTTCAGATGTGGACTACATCTCCCCTGATGCTTTGCCAGCATTATGACTGTAAGGGCCTCATGGGAGATCTAGTCCACAAAATCTAGACAGCCAAAGGTTACCTATCCCTGATCTATCCAAAACATTTTAAAAATGAGGTGCCTCCTGCAGCCATGCTTTTTGATGTGAGTATTTCAATCGTCTGATTAATGTGAATAATATCAGCATTACTAGAATAATAGCGGCAGCCAATTAGTCTGTAATTCGTTAGTATTAATTAAGCTAATTCTCTTTTTGTATCTGTGCTGTATATATATAAAAATAGATACAGGGATCTGATCTCTATCAATCATCTCACACTCAATTTACTAAAGACATTTTTACAGATGTTATTTCCAGAATATAAAATGGCTCCTCTCTGTGGGCTTATTCTGGTAATTTTTTCATTATGAATCAAATTTGAATTTTTAACTAAGAAAACAGTAATAGAAACCTTTCCATTGCTGAAGAGAAAGCCAATAGGCTTTACTTGTATTTATTAAAATCTTCCCCTCTACTTTAGCTATAATGGGATCCCAGCCTGAAATGTCATATCCGCACCAACTTGCACTGTGTAACCATGTTCCCGGCTGTTGGTGCTCGTTACAGTAACAGTTTCAGAAACTTTGAAGATGTGTTTCAGTGGGACATCTTTGCTGTTTTTGTAAGGACTGGGCTTTTAAGGCTTTTAGGGCCTTGGGATACACTTTTACCATTGTCTAAATGGAATGTGAGGCTCTCAGTGATACAATTGATCTAATCAGAATTGAAGGCAAAGAAGAGGCCTGTACTACAGCTCCAACACTTAACAACATTCCATGCCATTGCCACAGATTGGGCAATAAATGTGGCCATCATAGTGAATGGGAGTGCTTTCATATATAGACTCTTGTATTTGATGCATGTTGATGCAAGGGCATTGTCTTCCTTAACTGTCTGGCTTTATTTTAATTACATGCAATATCAGAGGACAGTCCAAAGAAGAAAACAGATTCAATATTCATACAATGACATATATTCCTTGTATTGACCCTTTAAATTACTAAACAGCAAAGTGAAAGAAAGTGCTTAAATTTTGAGTCATTTTTACTTACAAAAAGTAAAATGCAGAAGCAAGTTGGAGATATATTTTGGAAATATTAAAATTGTTTTCCAATAAGGCAACATTCCTAAATCGTATATTTTATATCAGCTGGTTATAGCAGTGAGAAGGTCACTACCTTAGAACTGTAAAACTTAGGTTAGAATGCCACTTAGTGTCCTTGGGAAAGACACCTCATGATATTTATCCAACTACCTCAAATGCTCAATAGTAGATTGTACGCTTGTTTGAGCAGGGTCTTCTTTAGCTCAAAATGTCTCTTTTCTTTAATTGTAAAGCTCCGCAAGGGATGTTGGTGCTATTTAAATATAATAATATATATTTTACTATCTTTATATAGATGGATTTAATTATTTAATAAATCAATATAAAACTAAATGTTGTTGCTCCTTAAAATAGTAATATATTTTCTATTCTTTTTCATAGATTCGTGTAAACGTCAAAATGAATAAATAAGGACCTACTTTTGTCTTTTCAATCAACACGACAATATTCCAAATAAATAAATTTTTAATTATGATACATTAATTATTACAGTAGAAATTTGCATTTTCCCTTCAAAACATAAGCACCAGTCTTGATATAACATAAAGTAAAAATCATATTGAAATATATAGCAAAATACCATGTGCAAACAGTATCAGCACATAACATAAATAAGATTGTATTTCTAAGTTTTGTTCTTTGTACATACTAAATTGTCCTAAATGGAGTTTATGTCATGCTGAATTTGATTAAAACAACCTGTGAATGATATAGAAATCTCAAAACTGAAAATGAGAAGTTTTATAGAAGACTGTACATGGATCATTAAAAGCTGTGAGGACCAAAAATTGTGGGGATTGTACATACTGACTAGTGCACATTTTCATTTTTGTTTATTTATTTAAATTTTTTTTACATGTCTTTAATGGTTTTCTGAAAAAAGTAAGGAAAACAAGATATAATTACAAAACAACCGTCAGATGTGGACAATATTTTTGATACTGTAAAAATCATTAAATAGACCGGATACTGGAGTTTGCACTTCCAGCTCTTTTTTAAATATGTCTCGGTTGAGATGAGTGGACTGTGAAGAGGGAGGACGTCCAGTGCAGAGAGAAGGCATCATTTTCGACATCATGTGACCTCGGCAAACGCAGTGATGTGGTTCTAAAATAGTGAGAAAAAAAAGAGAAAAAAATTACCTTTCAAAGTCAGTTTTTCTCTATAAATAATAAAAAAAATGATATATTATAAAATGTAAACTATGTTAATGGAAGAAATCAAAAGAAAATTAAAACAATAAAAACAGTTTGGAGTGCAATGCAATATAAGGCTATAATACTGTATTAATTACCAATTGCAATTTACTAAATATATATTTCTACCATTCTATTGAGGTTTTATTAAACATTTGCCTTTTTTATTTTACATTGTCCACTTTTTCAGAAAGATTTCTGCAAGGTAATGCTTTTGCTGGTTGAAAAATCAGTTTGAAGACCAGAAAAACCCAACACCGTAATAACATTGGTACTGATCATAATGGGTTAATATGAAAGCAGGCACTAAATCTAAACCATGTCAGGCAATCTATATCTCTCATAGTTAAATATTCTGCTGATAGTCATCTGGTTGGAATTATGTGCTTTTAGTACAAACATCTCTCATTTGAGCTTCTTCTTGCCATGTACTGAAGAAAGACTATGAGATCCAGTGTGTAATGCCATGTCTTCCTCTAAGTCTTTTCAACAGCAACCTCTGGTTCCCCAAATGGTTAATATATATTTTTAAAAGATGAAGATACTAATTCATGGAGATATACAATTTTAAAGAAATTCAAGATGTATGATTATATTATCTGCTATTTCAAATGTCTGAGTCCATACACTTAGTAGGTAATGCCACACCTACTCAACATCAGGTCATTCCACAGAATATCTAAAAGTCTTCTATATGGACAGTTAGGGGCAAATATAATCTAATTTGTTAATTTAAGGCACGTATGGTTGCATAGTAAACACATCAGCATCCTGAATTTAAACAGGATCTTAGGTAGGATCATCATCTTTTTTAGTATTGAGGCTAGCAAGCCAGGACAGCCTAACATTGTTCCATTGTTGGGTATGTGTTTTGCACATGTGAATTACAGGCTTAAAGTTGAGATCGAAGATGGTTGCAAGGGTGGGACTGATTTTGACCCGCAGATATGTGATATCTGTGGTCCTCCATTCAAAGTCATATGATTGTTGCAGTAGTTGTGTGACATGGTTGGGAAGGTTTACTGGTAGGGCTTGGGTTTTGCTTTGATTGAGTTTGTAATACAAAACAGCCCCATATTGCTGTAATAGTTGTAGTAGTGCTGGTACTGAAACAGTTGGGTCTCTCAACGTCAGTAGGATATCATCCGCGAACATGGTGAGGCGGAAATGTTGTTTCCCTAAATGTATTCCGGCAATGGTGTCGTGTTGTCTTATTTTGTGTGCTAGGTGTTTTAGTGAGAGGATGAAGAGTAATGGTGACAGGGGGCACCCCAGTGTGGTGCCATTCGTAATATAAAATGGTTTAGAGATGAACACTGAATTGGTTACTTTGCCTTGTGGATCATTGTACAAGGCCATTATTCCTGTGATGAAAGCTTAGGGAAAGCCAAATTTGATAAGTACTTGTGTCATGTATTTAACTTGGACTATTAAATTACAAATATTAGCAAAACATTTTTTTTTGCCTGCAACAGAACCTACGCATATGTTTGAATGTATTTGCTTATATTTTGAATGCAATATGTACTGCTACATTGATTTATATATATATTTTTTTTCTATTAGATTCTTTCTTCAAAATTTACTTAAAACTAGAAATTTGTTCACATAAAATTAAGTGGCTATTAAATAACCACAATGTGTAATTTACATTCCTTGCCAAATTATGTCAGATCATTTATTCCTAATATTCATATATCCTAAAAACAAAACATGAAACAAATTTCGGTATAGAACTTTAACTGATGCAAGACAAAATAAATATATTGCTAACTAATAATTTTTCATTTGTCATCTACTAATTTGAATTAAAATAGTTCTAAATAACCTGACTTATCTAATTACAAAATATATATTTGACTAATGTGAAAACCCCTAGCTTGTCTGAAGGCTAAAACAATTTTGTTTAAACATTAATGGCCTCTTTTTTCCCATTTTCATTATTAATTGCAATCCACAAGGCGCACACTGCAGCATCAAGCATTGACTTAAGTTATGAAAATGACATTTGAAAGCTGACAAAACATATTAGACTAGTTCCTTGTTCTGACCATTGGAGAATCATAAAAGTTCACATTGTACAATAACCTCCTAAAAGGGTTTAAAAAATGACATTTATTTCATCCTTTAAATGCCTTTCTAGTTGACCTCTGTGTTCTATGCAAACAAAAACTCTTAAAACTTCAAACTACTCAACTTCTCAAAATACTGTTGTGTTATTTTTTTAATATGACTTTTATAAAATGAAAATGTATAGCAACTTAAAACATGGCAACATATTCCTGGGCAATCATTTGGACATTCTTCTCTAGTCTTATACACTGTTTTTTTTCTTGTGTTCTTATACTCAACCATTTCCTAAATTGTAAACTTTAAATCAGGTCTTCTTCTCCTCTTCTTCTTTTTTTGGTAGATTTGTCATTACATGATATTTTACATTCATATTAAAACCATTCATGTTTGTTTGTTATATTAATATTGGCTTAATAAGCAAGACCACCCAAAACCTAAACTAACTGAAGGGATTTTTCATAATTTCCGTTTGATATGAACTGTCAAAAATGATGTACATCCCAGAATTAATCACTAATCTCCATGACACTTTCATAGTCTGACTGTCATACTTACCTTCAAGTGGCTGACCGCAATAGCAAGTTACTGCGTGTTATCAGCTGTAACCTTCATGTTCTCCACATACCTCACTGTACTTATTTTCAGGTGTTTGGACCTCCTCCAGAACTGATCAGTAACCTTGTTTATTAGTTCTGCTTCTTCCCTCTGACTACTATCTCTGGATTTGTGAACTGGTTAAGTCTGTTTGTTATCTCTCCCCCGGTGACTGACCACTCTCTCTGGATTATCCTAAGGAACTGTAATTTATACTGTTTGTATTTCTCTGGCCCCAGAATCGGCTATCTTTCCTTGGATATTACGCCCTGGATCATCCACGTGCTCTTTATAGCAAAAAATGGTAGCTGACCTTGCTTGCTTTTTTTTTTAAATTAACTCGTCTACTCTGAAATTCTGTGCTGCTATTGGACTGTACAAAGTGGAATTTGAATCATAAATTGTGCTTTTTTCTTGCTTCACTAAAGACAGTATTACTTAAGGAATTCTTTTGTTTTGTCCCCAATTCTCATCTGCTGAAAGTTACTGATACTGAAATGACTTTCTCACTTATGAAAGAATATCCTTTCTGTAAATTCAGATATATTGTTTTTACGTTTTGGCAGATTGCATGTTCTAAATTATTGCTACAATCTAACAATTTACCATTGCAACAATTTAGTCTAATTACCTTATTCTGAGCTGTGCTGACAAAAAAAAACCTGTTTTTACTTAAATTTTTTGTAGACTTGAGGAGTATTACAGTGACTGAGCATTTTTACTAAACTTACAATTTTAATGTCACTTTGGGTAGCAGTGCAAGAAACTTTATTTGTTGTTTCAAATGGGTTCTACAAATTGATGAACAACAAAAATATATACTTCTATGTAATGGTCCCTGGGACTTCTGTTGACCATTTTACTAGAGTATTGTTTTCAGATTCTGTGACTGTTATAGTCTCAAGTACAATTGAAGAAACACAAACAAAAGTGGCCAAACCCGCCATGAAAGCACAGCTTTTTTATAAACCGTGGAAAATAAGAGGTTAATATGACAAACAAATAAATGATAATCCAAAAATCTGAAATGTATTCTGTACATGCATAAAAGAGACACACACACAATACTCAAGATTTCTTCCCTTTCATTATATATATATAAAATTGTTTGTGCCCTTGAGAAATCTATGCACATTTTTATTCATGCTGTGTCTCTGTGAATGTACACAGATCATTTTCAATGACACCAGTAGGATTGGAATGTAAGGATTTAACGTATATATGTAATGCTTATTATTTATTGATTCAGAGACTTTCATAAATAAAAAAAATAAAGCATAACTTCAATGAAATCAACACAACATTGAGTATTCAGATTATCTATCTATCTATCTATCTATCTATCATTACACAGTTGTTCACCCATAAATTACTTGACTGACTCAGATTAATGCATGGGTGAAAGCCATTTTTCTTCATGTTGTATTACAACTTCCAGGTTGGTACATATTCTACATTATGTTTGCTACTTTCCTCTGTTCTTTTTTGTCTTGCAGGTATTAAGTGCATGTAAAAAGTTTACTTATGATAAACATGTATACACTATTCATATACTATATATGCTCATATCATGGGT